TGTGCATGTAAGTGTAAAAGCGCATTCCGCCATATCCTCCGCCGGTTAATATGAGGTTAAAAGCGTCGCCATAATTTGTTCGGAATTCTACCATGTTTATGTTTTTGATGTCCCATTTAAACTCCTCTGATTGAAGCTTCAGCCACATGCACATAGTAAACTGTGTCATATCATCAGGGACATTAGTTGGATTTATCATCAGTTGGTTTGCTTTGATACCGCCATAAAAAATCCGGACGTCAAAAGATGAGGGGGCTAAGGAAGCTGGGAATGAAACAGAAAACGAGGGTTGTCGCAAGAGAAACGCATGCATAACTCATTCGTAATCACCGTGTGCTAATCGAGCAAAGCGATGCGTTTGCAGATAGAGAAACAGTTTGTGGAGTTATCATTATCAACATCATCTTTCTTATTTACTAGTCACTTGTGACATGACACAATGCGCTGAACAGATCGGCGTTTCCCATATGAACTATGACCATTGTCAGAAGAGCTCTTGCTCTCTCTACATCATACTATAACACCATTTTTATACAAGGAAGGCGTGCATTTTACTGGATGGGAATGGGAGTGGCGAAAGCGCGAACACTGTATCTAAGGCGAAAAAAGCATAACTGGGGCTAGGTTCTAAAAACTCGTTCTGAGTGTTTGTTTGTCTGGTGACAAAATTTGGTAAAGACTCCATAATTTTGAGTGGAAAACTGTTTCGACCCAGTTAAGACCATAAAAGGGAAAGGACTCGCACGAAGTTCTCCTTTAGAAATTAAAAAAATATATATGAACCGAATTTGATTTGATTTGAGACATTAAACGACAATGATAAAAGTAAAAAATATTTTTAAATCTATAATAATTCGAAAGTACGGCACGGTTGTGTATTGCACTCTTGTGTATTCCTGGCTGCCCCAAGGTGTTTACAGTCCTTCCCACCCCTGGCTGGCGGGGGATTCTTGCAGGTCCTTGCAAGAGCCTTGATTCCTCCACCACATGTGACACTGCACTGAGAAACTGCTGACCAGCCAGTGTAGCCCCCATCAATAGCTGTAAGTAAAATAGTTATCAATCCTATTAGTCCAAGGAGCCTTCTTGCCCATTACTACAGATATTAGCCCATTTTCTGTAATGTTGAAGAAGGAAGCTAGTCAATCGGAAAGAAGAAGTGTCCTTGTGGCCATTACTTATTGATACTCCCATATGGGAACTGCTCTGAGTGTAAAGTGTCCTACCAGTAAATTGGTAACGTCCATGAAGTCTTGTTGAGTGGGAGTATCCATTATTTTTTAAGTGCTAAGAACTTTTAGTCAAAGCTAAATTTATGTGGTTAAATGCGCTGAGATATTTACCTCCAGAAACTACACACTGAGACAACTCTCTTATAAAATTCTTTCTCAGTGACTTCTTGTAGAACTCCCTCCACTTCACAGTGGGACCACCCATGCCTCCGTCACAGGTATTAGCTTCCTCAACAATCTCTGATTCAGTGAGTATTCTATTCCACAGATTAAAGCCTGTTATGCCAACATTTTCTGTTCTTCCTCCTCCTCCAATTTGAAGCGCCCCTCCAGCGTTCCTTGTGCCGACAGAACAGGGTTGAAATTTAACTTCAGCTCCGTCCCTGTAGTAACTTGTGTATCCTGAATCTGCGGCGCCGTCC